TATTGAACTTCCACATGTTCCTGGTATTCCTCTTGATCCCACCGACATTGTTCCTTGTTGTGATATTTGTTAATATTTTATCCTCTGGATCCTCTGAATGGAAATTTCCATTCTAGCCTTGACCACTGTGATTTGACCAATGAGGTCCCTGGTAATTCTTTCCTTCCCACTTGGAATACTATCGAACACAAGTCCCTGCTCGGGCGCCAATTGTAACGACACGGATTCGTCGTTTTAATTTGCTGAGGTATTACTCAGTCGCGGTCCGGGTCGTTGCAATAAATTTGTTTTATTGACTAGTTCGAAGCTGGTAAACCAAGGAAAGTTAAAAGACCGTTTGTTTTATTATTTAAAATTTATTTAAAGTTTTCTTAAATAACTTATTCTAGTCTTGATTCTACTCAGTAAGTTTTATCCAAAGACGTCAGAACATCAAAGGGTTTTTTCCAAATCTACGTAATTAGTTTCTCGCCAAAGACGTCAAAACATTAAAGGCGTTTATAAAATGTATTCAATAATTTTTACCCAAAGACGTCAGAACATCAAAGGGTTTTTTCCAAATCTACGTAATTAGTTTCTAGCCAAAGACATCAAAACATCAAAGGCGTTTATAAAATCTATTCAATACCTTCTACTGATTTATTAAGCCTTAGCGTCGAAACACCATGGGCTTCTAAAAAAAAAGACTTAGCGCTGGAGTAGAGTACTACTCACTTCGGTGTGCCGGTGCTAAGTGATCTTTCATATAAAATCTCCGCTATTTATATACGACACTTTGCTTTGCTTAAATGCACGCACAACCGCACAAGTGTAATTCGCTGTCAGCTTTGTTATGCTTGTCGTGTGTGCGTATGTTCGCGGTTGGCTTTGTTTTGCTTGTCGTGTGTGCGTGTGTTCGCGGTTGGCTTCGTTTTGCGTGTCGTTTGTGCGTATGTTCGCGGTTGGCTTTGTTTTGCGTGTCGTTTGTGCGTATGTTCGCGGTTGGCTTTGTTTATTTGTTTAAATATATAAATCGAGTTTTATCCAGACGATTTTTAGTAAAAAATAATAAGTTTTATGTAGGGCGGAATTTGTATAAAATTCCGTCCTTACACATTCTAAAGGAAATATTTATTAATTAGAGTTGAGCTAATTTGTACTCAGATAAAAAGTTTTTTAATATTTAGAGATACTGCAAGGAGTACTAACATAAAAACTATAGAGTAAACTGTAGATACCAAAGGCAGGCTTACAGTTTTAAGAATCTATTAAAGATAGTCTCTTACTAACATATACCCCTTGTAATAAAGGGTGAAAGTACTTTCATCCAGTTTAGTGACCCTGAAAAACTAGAAAAACCTTGGTTAAATAGTTCTGACATTGTATCGTCAGATTTTTATTCATTTCAATGTCTGTAAAATGTACTTTTTAGTATAAAATTGACAACAAAAGGATTGTGAAGACATTTTTTCGTCAGTTATGCAAATATAAAAACCTGGAATAGAGATTCTTGCAAAAAAATTGTAAAAGATATTGGCAAATAGTGAATAATATTTCGATAAATAAAATTATTTTAAAAAAAATATATTCAATTTGTATAAAAAACACCGAATACTTTTTTACCAATCCATTATATTGATTTAATCAATTAATTAACTAAATAATGTAATTTTTCGGTTCTCCCACAGATTTTAGAAAAGTGCGTTATTTTAAATTAAATTTTAACTATACCATATGTGAACATATATTCGTTTTCAAGGTATTAGTCTTTATATGTGATCTAGCACTTTACTAACTGGTGCTAGATGCTATCTCTAGTTGTTTTTAGTGTATTCAACACAACACGATTCCAAATTTAAACCTCAATATCTCAAGAAGTCAGCTATATTGGTATAAAACATAGCAAAAAATTTTGATCGTAACAGCTGACTCCACTAGAACCCAAGAAATTGATATCGTATCAACTTTTTTTTTTCAACTTGCCTATTGGTCTGCCATATAAACTGAAATAATCAAATCTGCTATCGTTTATCATAGTAAAGAAGGATGCATTCTCCGGGCACTGCAATACAAGACAATTAAAAAATTCCTCTGGTTGCTTCCACAAACCTTGACGTCTCTTAGCAATTCCATTATTAAAGCTCAAAGCTAAGATATAAAAATATAAATGTAATAATCAAAAAAAAAAAAAAAAACTAAAAATACAATTCCACCTTCATCACTGTTTTCTACAGCAAAGCTATTAGTTCTACTTCTGCGTAAAAAGGAGGCATAATTTAAAGCCAAGCCGTGTACACTTCTCGCCAAAGCCATACATTCTTCCAATGTTTCCGTATTATTAGCCGCAATCACCAACTGTTGCGAACGCTGACAACGTCGCACAAGTCTATATTCCAATAACTTTTCTTCGCGGCAATTTTGAACATTTTCAACACTAAAAACACGGAGTAGGAGGAATAAGTATGTGAGTTGAAAATAAATTTTAAACTTCAAACTTTGCATGTTTATAAAGAACTAATTTTTTTAAATTAATATATAACCTTTTATATTCGTTCATATTAAATACAAAAATTGAAACAATTATTAATTCTTTTTTTTAATTTATTTTAGTTTATTTTTTATTATTTAATTTTATTACAATTTTTCCGTATGTCATTTTACATTGTCATTTTTCTATGTCATATTTTGAGCACCCCAATTATATATAAAATTATTTCTTTATATATGTGCTATTGCAAATGTATTTTTCATTAACTACATACAGGGTATTACATTGTTATTATTTATTATAAACTTAATTAATGTGCTTATATTATTTAGTATTGCAAAGCTCCAGTCAAGCATTTCAAGTCATTGTAGAAAATTTATTTAAAATGCTTGAATGAAGCAATGCAAATATGTTTAACATTTATTGTTAATATAATTTTAATGTAATTAAGCTTAATTCAAATATCTCATTAAATATATATATATGTATATATGTATTAAAAATTAATAAGGAAACTCTTATTATCTGCTTAAAACTAAAATATTTTATCAATTGTAAGTAAATTTCATTTTATGTAGAATTTTTCATTTTAAGTGACTCTCATATAATCAAACAATATTGCATACTTTTAGGTGTTCGGGTGTATTTGATCATTAAGTATAAATATTAATAATATTCATTTTAATATAAATATTACTAATAAAAGTATAAATATAAATATGTAATAATATTTATTTTAATGTAAATATTACTAATAAAGGAATAAATATTAATAAATATAAATAATATTTAGTATTTATTTAAAAATAAATATTACCAATATAATTATAAATATTAATAATATTTATTTTAATATAAGTATAAATTTTTAATAATATTTATTTCAGTATAAGTATTATTAACACAAGCATATTAGAAGCAATATTAGTAATATAAATATAAATATTAATAATATTTATTTTAATATAAATATTACTAATATAAGTATAAATATTAATATGTAATAATATTTATTTTAATGTAAATATTACTAATAAAGGAATAAATATTACTAAATATAAATAATTTTTAATATTTATTTAAAAATAAATATTACTAATATAATTATATAAATTAATAATATTTATTTTAATATAAGTATAAATATTTAATAATATTTATTTCAATATAAATATTACTAACACAAGCATAAATATTATTAATATTTAATAATATTAATTTTAATATTAATATTATTAATGTTTAATAATATTAAATTTAATATAAATATTAATAATGTTTAATAACATTAATTTTAATATATTTAATATTAATTTTAATACAAATATTATTAATATTTATACTTAAAGTGTTAAGCTATTGCGCTGGCTTTATTTTATTTAAATATCAAAATTTATTTATTATTGCAAATATATATGGACGGATTTTACTAGGGCACATATTTTAGACGTTGTAGTGCTGTAGCACATTATTTACTTACAACAAGTTTATTATATATTTTTCATTATATTAATAATATAATTCATTTTGAAATAACTTTCTCTGCTAACGACACACGAAAATAAGTTAATTTAAATATTCTTATAAATTATTATTAATAAAATAAATTAATTTAAATTGTTTATAGTTTTAAGTTTTAAAAAGAGTTTAGTTGCAATATATGACAAGATATACGAATAGTTTTTTTTTAACAAAAATGTAATTTACTAAACTGAAACTAAAAAACTTGAAACTTTGGTTAAGTAGTTATAACCTAGAGTTTAAAATAAAATAGTTTTACAGATATCACCTGAGTGTCGGTTGTATTCGTTGTTAAAATGTTGAAATTGCTTTAAATGTTATTACGTTAAAACGACCGACTGTTAAGCAATTAATTAGCATTTAATTAAATAATTAACCAACACCAAATTATTAATAGAAGTGCATGTTAACAAAGGATATTAAATGTCTTACCTAAAACTATGCTACAAATATTGAGTAACAAATATCTTCGAAGACAAGGTACCCTTTGCAATATTAGGGGGCAATGTGACTTATTGCCCAATAATATCATTCATAATTTAGTGCAAAGCAAAAAGGGAGTAGGGTGTGCCGTGGCTTAAAGTATACAAATTGACTTAATTAATTAATTCAAATTTAATATATAAAACCTAAGGTTTTTAAAGTTATTGCATATTCAAAGGCAGCATTTAGTTTACTCGAAGCAGTGAATTCAAATAAAATACAAACTTAATTAATATTTTATCAAAACAAAAAAAATTCTCTTATAGAAAATAACTTAAATCGCATAGCAAATATTCTTCTTATGAAATTTCTACATATTAATACAAAAAAAAAATAAAATAAAAAAAATTTTATAGTAAATAAAACTGTTTTGTGACTTAATTACTAATGGAAGTTGACTATAAAGTAGCGTAGCAGTTTTTAAAGATTAGGAATCTTTTTTTTAACTGTAGGCACAAAATTTTGAATTTTCCTCTTTTTTTACAAATTTTATAAATATTAGAATTTAAAACACTTTAAGTGTTCATACACAAATTTAAATAAATTTTAATAGTATAGACCGAATAATTTAATAAGTATATGTACTGCTTTGTAGCAATGGCAATACTTATGAGCTACTTAACTGCTATGCGAGAAAGCCGTATTTGTATATGGTCCACTGTAAATGGAGCTGCCCGAATTGGATACCGTCTTAGTGCTTCTTCTGGCCATTATGCACAAGACAGCGGCAACGACGGCCAACATTAGAATGAGACCGGCAATTGCTATGGCAATGGCGAATGTACGTTGCGATACGCACAAAGCGTCATCAAGTGTCTGAAAATTTTTCATTAATTAATTAAAATAATTATTTATTTTGTTTCAATATAATTGCTTAATTACTTTTTCTTTGAAGACTGAATCTTCATCATCTTCTGTTACATCAACATTTTCATTCACATAAAGACCAGTATCCACTTTAATGATTGCTTGTTCTTCGTCTTTGTTATCGGCGTTAGTTTGTCGTTTTGGTCGTTTGCCACTGCAAGTAGGAGCCTAAAAAAAATAATTTTATTGTTAAATTTAATTTAAATGCAATATAAGTTCATATATTAATTCTCATATCAGTTAAATAATTGATAAAAATAGTTGTAGCTTATTAATGAGGCAGCCAATTAAATTGCCTCATCATTGCGGTCATTAATGATACTGAAATCATTAATGAATATAACTTTCTATATAATATATCCTTACCACTTTACATTCGGGATCCTGCAAGGCACACAACCTCACATTGCATTGATAGTAGACAGACGTGGTGTACGGGAATTTATGTGCTGGGAATGTAACATTCGCTGCCATGCGATCAGTAGTGTAATTGAATTGTCCCATTATTTCATTATCCATTGGACAACTAAAAAAGAACAAAATTAATTATAATAACTGTAAAAGTCTGATATTATATATTCTGGTAATTATGCATAATAAAAGTAATATTAGTAAAGTTAATTAACCCTTAAAGTAAATAAAAATTAGTATCAAAATTAGAATACATAAGAAAGAGGTACCAAATATATTCACAAGTAAAAAAGGCACTAATCCGTGTCAGAATTCAACCTGGTAAAATTGTCTCTTAAGAAAGATTTGTGAAAGGTTTAAATCTATTAATACTACAGCCCAAAACCATAGGCCTTATGAAAACTAAAAAATAATCTAAAGGTCGTTATTCTAGAGTTTTATTCTAAGTATAAAAACACCTCTCATATGGCAAAGTTTTTATTTCCCAGGAGAAGATCAATCACAAAGAATATGCATTGAGCCGTCAAAAAATTGAAAGACATCTGGAAAAACCTGTCTATTAAAATATTATCTCAGATAACAGTTATCAACAAAATTCTAAATTCTCAAGTCCATTCTGCTTAGTAAAAGTAGATTGCCTGATATTCCCTTTTCTGGGAAGAGATACTTTCACGAACCAACGTTATTATCCCAGTAGTCGATTAATTTGCTTTTCGTCCTCTTCCTTCATTAAATTAAGTTTTTATGATTTCATAAAAAAATTCCGAATCAATTCATCATTAAGCAATAACTGAAATCCCGTACCAATAAACAAAACAGGTAGGTAAGGTAAATGGACTTAATATTTGGCAAACTAAATTCATCTGAGTCATAGAACATGGATTACTAAAGTTGTGACTTGTAAAGGACCTGACTAATAATAGCAGCAAAATTGCGGTTTAATTGGATTAATTATAAACATACGATTTGACTCTTGCTGACCTCGATTATAGAGTTGAATCAGAAACGGAATTACTTGACCCTAAATGTGATAGTGAGCAAAGAATTTATGCAGATGTGTCGCATGATTTGAAATACTATGACCTAAGTAGTGCCTAAATTTAAAGGATATGAACAGAGAAGTCATACTATGTTATCAAGTTAAGTATCTTTGAGTCAGAGAATATTTACTTTCTTCAAAAAATAGGTTGTATTTGCATTAAAGTGTTCATTTGTAATCAATGTAATCGCCGAGGCCCACTTTTTTAAAGACCCAGATGCATTCTATATTTTGAGAGCTAATATCTTACTAAATGAAGTAGACACAAGAGTATATGAGTATATATGAGTTACTAATGAAAAGTCATGTGGCTTCGTTATTAAGCTGCATCCACAAAGCGAATTTTGTATATCAATATGTCTAATGTTTTAGATTGGTTAACCGATATGGGTGACAAAATCTTTAACACTTATTACACAAAAAATTTCGAAAAAAAACATATATCCACTTTAAAGGAAAAGCATTCAATATTTCGTCAATACTTACCCATCTTCACCCAAAAGTCGTTGTTCACCCCAACCCAAACCATCACGTACAGTACAATCGGTTACATGTAAGCCATACACATCTTGCTTATCAATGCTTACAACCATCGTTAATGGATCTCCTATTTTGACATCATCGGCAATTTTATGTTCTGCATTATAAATTTTCATATGACAACCTGGCATAGGAATTTCATTTAATTCCTCATTCGCTTCTGCATTAGCAGCGGATTCATCATCGAAGACATCATCTTCATCTAGTTCATCACCAGTTGCACGATATTTATCCAATGAACGTCCATAGTCGCGTCTATCGGTTACTTCACTATCAGCGCTATGGAATGCTTGGGGTTTCTGTGCATGCTTTACTTGCTTGGAACTGGGTTTGTGTTGTTTTCGTGTTGCAGCATCACGACTTTTATACGCACAACGCACGTGATAACCACGACCTAAGTCGGTGATAAGTTTAAGGTGCGGTTGCAGAACGATTGTATTGAAGAATTCAATACGTCCGTCGTCCTGTAAATAAAGAAAATATAAACAAATTAAAAAAATGTTTAGAGATATAAATAATGAATAAAATAAAAAAATTGGAGATAATATTTTTTAAAAAATGAGTTAAAATCCGTAAAAATAGATCAACTAAATCTCGTTTTTTGGTTATGTAGTGAATATTTTAAAAGGAATATATAAATAATACTGGGTTTCGAAGCTCTTGTTGCAATTGCCTGATAGGGTATCTTACATTTGAGAGGTTTGCACCCAGATGCCCTGCATAAGTCCCCACATTCTTAGAAACATCACCAGTCACATATATGAACGCTGTCAAGAGTCAGGGCGTAGACCAAGTTTACCCCTTTAGCAACAGAATCATCATTTTCTTGACCCATTGTTTTACTAAATATCTATTATTCTATCATTTTCGAATTTAATTATTTTACTGAAAAAATTTGCAAAAAACTATCTTAGGCATCACATGCACACACCTTCGACATTGGTTTATCACAAGTTGGGGGGCTTATTATCTTATGCAATCTCTTTATATTTTGAAATAATATTTTTAGGAAGGTCATCACTTCATATGTCAACCTTGACATCCTAATCTATGGACTCTCTTTAGTATTTCGAACACACCCTTCGGAACTGTCACCACTTATCAGAGTATAATCTCATGGGCTAAATAATATAGCAAGAAAGAGCTGAAATCATAGAAGACCAGTACTTTAGTGCTGGTAAAAATATTCTATGTGTTAGCAGGCATTTTCTAAAATAAGTGTAGTTCCGTGGTACATATTGTGTACTGCTTTTATAGCATTTTTTTTTGTTTTTGTTAGTGAGGAGTTAGAATGTTTTATGCACATCAGACTGCCCGTCATTAGAATGGTGTGCCCAATTGTCTAAAATATGGACTAAAATACCCCAACTTCGGAGAGGCTTATTACCCCCGAAACCTTTTTCGCATAACTTCGGGAAAGGTATTTTTATATTCACGTTACTAACCGTGATCATTTAATTTTTGATCCGCGTTCAGACCTCCATTTTTCCACGCATTGTTTTGTGTCTGTCCTAGTTATTGCCTCTATAAATAGGTTGGTGAAAATAATTCCTATAAGCGTTTAAAGACTTTGGGTGATAATTTTTTCCGTAAATTCAATTATAATTTAGTTCACATGATTTAAAATCTGTTATATAAATTGATATCAATTTTCTTAAAAAAGTTTCCTTTTTCTCCTCTGAGACAATTTCTATGATTTTTAATCTCTTTCCGCCCGCATTAATATTCTTGAATAATAATTTTAATTTATGGATAAATAATTGCAACCTTCTATGGTTTTAATTTATGTTAAAATGTTGCGAAAATCAATCACTAGATTTGTTATTGTCTTATAAGGAAAATGAATGATGAAGTCAAAGTCTTTGTTAATGGAGGAACATTAAATCAGACAGATTTAAAGGAAATGTTATTAATCTACGTTAGTTTCTCACGAAATATTTTTTTATTTTTATTTTTATTATTCATGAAGTGGGAATTTTATGCGAATTCGCATTTGGAGAAAGTTCAAAATTGAAATAAATCAATAAAAACTAGATTCACATATAGTTTAACATTTCGATTTGATTAATTATACAATATTGTTTTTTCAATTTTAATATGATAAATAGATGTCATATCATATAATATCCCAAATACGGTGAAATCATTGACCTTTTTCTACGTATATTACGAAAACATTATCAATTATTATAAAACTTACTTTATATGATTATAAGTCATTTCAGTATAAGTCGTTTCAATATAAGTCGCTTTAATATAAGTCGCTTCAATATAAATCGTTTTATTATAAGTCATTTTATTATATTATTTTATTAGTAGTTTGATCAAATTAAATATATATTAAAACAATTTTAGTGATATAAAAAGTAACACTAGCCAAAAAAAAATTTTTACTACGGCTATTCGAATTTTGGAACCTTAGATCCATTAGTTCTAAAGATGTGCACCTAAAGATGTCAGGAAACAGATATAGCAATATTTGTTCCACACATTTTATTAAACAGAAACCAACAATTTTTATAGTGTATTTCATTAAATATATTAGATACTCGTACCCACAACTTTCAACTCAATTTATTAAAATTTCGATTTTGAAGGCTTTTCATTTAGTTCCAGCTACTATATAAACAAAAACTATCGACAATGAGAAGTGAGAGACCGAAATCCATGACAAAAAATTAATCGTATGTTTAATGAAAATCGCCAAAATTAATAATCAAAAACCCATTTGACATATAAAAGTTTGCAATAGATTTAATGGAGTATATCTACGAGGGTCACTATTTATATTTTGAGTCTAACAATGAAATAATACTAGCTTGTCGTAGTACTCTTCTTCTCGAAGTATTCTGCTTTATGCCTACTACACTTTTGTATGCGTTCGAACCATTTGTCAAATATTCAATCTTCCAATTGTTCCAAACTTCTTCAGACACCTTCAAAACATGGTTTTGTAACGCAACAATTGTTTCTTTCCACGCAATTTATTCTTGACGTTCGGGAACAAGAAGAAGTCATTGGATGCCGAATCTGTCATTAGGACTGTATGGCGGATGACCCATCAATTCGATTTTTTGATAGTTCAAATAGTCGGTTGGTCGGTTGCTAGACGATAAGTGTGGGAACTGTCGCATTGTCTTATTGGAGAATGCTCCAACGGAGCTTATTTGTTTTCCGTATTTCACTGAAGACTTCCGGGAAACAAGTGGTTGTATACCATTCGAAATACACCGTTTTACGTATAATGGTATACTCGTCGTTGCCACATGACCACCAGTTTTCTCGAAAAAACAGGCGACAATTTATTTCAAAGTGCTTCATCGCCAAATGTGGAAATAAGTTGATCGATGCATTCTTGTCTCAATAATCCATGTCAAAAGTTGTAATAAATCATCGCATGAAAATTTTCCCGCGTTAATTTTATTTTTTCGCAAAGACTCAATTAACAAATCATTGTAATTAACACAAATACGGCTCTTTTGACAAAAAGTCTAAGGTAGGTCAGATAACACCTGACAACAATCAGTGTTGCCAAGGCTCAAAGTATAAATAGTGACCCTCCAAAACTGTACGGTACCTGTAAGCATCAACTCATTAGAAGGTAGGCTGTCCTCTGGATTTGATCTAATTTTACAGTCTTACTCTGCATGTCGAGGTATGGCCATAAAAAAAGTATTACATGAAATATCGGTTTGACGAGCGATATCACTCTATGAATATGAAAATAGAGAACTATTTAATGATTAAAATCCTATTATTCTCATATAAATAAATTAATTACAAAAAGTATTCACTGTGTGTTTATAATATCTTCAATAAATGTTTTAAATGACTGTTTATTCGTATGTGTAAATCGCAGTACCACTTCTTATCCTAAAAATAATTCTTACACTTGATTTTGGGATTTTTGCATATAACTAATTATTTAATTTTTTTATTATGTACCATATAGAAATATTAAAATTTTACTAACAATTAGTAATGAAATATTTATATGCATACAAATATATATGTACATACTTTCGTATTATTATTGGCCTCTGAAATTGGTATATTGGAAAGTGTTGCGAATGCGCCAGGCAATATATGTAATTTTAATATTCTTCATTTTTTTTTCTCAGTCAATCTTAGTCAGAATTTTTATGGTTTAGCATTTCTATTCATAATTGCTAATATATGCAATAACTGTTTCGGTTATTTAAGTACCGCAGCACCACTTCCGTGAATGAAGATTGTGGTTTTCATTCTTTATGTGCATACACATATATAATATATAAATACTATTATTATTTCAGAGTGAAAATTACTAAGAACAAAGAAGAATATTTTATTTTAATTTTTATATGTATATTTTTCCTTAACACAAAAGCTTGCAGTAGCAAACAAAAGACTTAAGCAACAAACTTCTGAAGAAATTACTTTTTCCGCTTTTGCTATTGTGAAATGTGCAAAAAACGAAAGAAAATCAGAAAATAAAAAATTTCTAGAAATAAATATTAAATATTAATTTTAAATCAGTTTTTATTTTTAAAACTTCAAAAGAAGCTATATGTTATTCTATTATGATGAAATAATCTGTAAGTCGTAATAGCTAATTATAAATAAATAATTAATTTTTATTTAATTTTCATATTTGAAGCATTAACGCTTGGTTGGCTTTTCTAAGTATTAGCAAAATTGCTGTACTTTGATATACCACAAATGCTTCCTAGTACAGAGCAAAAACACAATCGTAAGATAAAAATCTATCCGGATTGTCTTATTATTAAGTTTTTCTTAGCAGATTTATTGCTTGTCCGCTGATTACATTTGTATGGTTTTCAACTTGAGATTTTATGCTCAACTTAGTGTGACGCTTTGTCTGTGGCTACCTGAAAGAACATTATAGAGTTTCTGTTGTTCCTACATATGGACAGCATTCTTTAAGCAAATTAACAGTTTTGTTTTTTTTTTGTTGAAATATCATTACTTTATGTTGTTGGGATTAAGACAGCAGAACTACATAAGTTAAATTTAAATTGAAGTTGAAAGGAACTGTAGACAAACTTATGACTACTGCTGCTAAATTACGATTTTCAGAAGAAAATAAACTATAAAAGCATATGTGTACTCTTAAGTAACATAGATCAAATCGGAAATAATAGATTTCATATATGTATACTAACAAAAATATAATCGAAAATAATAGATTTTATAAATGTTCTCTTAAATAACGTAGATTAAACTGAAATTGATAGATTTTATATATGTAAACTAACATAAATATAATCGGAAATTATGGATTTCATAGCTCTACTGTAATTACTAATAAAACAGGTATTTAAAACATTTATTGAAGATTTTATAAACACTGCAAATTTATTCACTTTTTGTAATTAATTTATTTATATTAGCTATATATAGAAGGAGAGATAAAAGAAGGTTGTATATCAATCAATAATACAATAATTATTTAGAATACTAA